CTTAAATAATCAATAAAATTCTCCCCATAAACAACCACTTTCTCCAGCGTGGGCACCAGAAGTTTCCCTGAACGACGCCGGAGCGCGTGGTAACTCTTGGACTGAGACACAGAGAAGACTGAGCTAACCTTATCTGACTCCGCCTTCCTGTAGCCTTCCTCTTGCCCCCTCCCCCTCCCCCTCCCCCACCCCCACCCCCACCCTCTCTCTCTCTCTCTCTCTCTCTCTCTCTCTCTCTCTCTCTCTCTCCGACTAGAAATTCTTAGTCACGTGAGATTAATCACAAACTTCTGCGAAGTTTTAAACGATGACTCAGTGTTACGTTTATAGATAGATGTCAGTAAATCCTGGTTCATTGAAACATATCTATTATACACGTTTGATAGTGCGTTTTCATTGGGTTCTTTTACAATCAAAAGGAATATTTTCGTAGAATAGCCCTTCTCTTTGCTTGATCAAATATGTTCATGCATATGTATGACTCTGCCTCCATGCAGGTTCATTAACGATAAATCTCTCGGCACCAAAAAGGTCTATCTTTGTTTACTCCTCTGAATCTGAATAAGCAATTGTGCGTGTGTGTGTGTGCGTGTGTGTATGTGTGCGTGTGCGTGTGTGTATGTGCGTGTGCGTGTGCGTGTGTGTGTGTGTGTGTGTGTGTGTGTGTGTGTGTGTGCGTGCGTGTGTTTGTAGAGGAAAGGTGGGACTAGAGTCGGACGAAAACAATAGCATAGACATTTATTGTTTTTTTTTCAGGAACACAGGGGACAGAGGGAGGAAACCAAATGAAAAAACTAATCTGAGATCGTTATCAAAGTAACAGAATAATTCATCAAAATTTCCGGAGGGTGACGCTCCCTGTTACTTGGGGCATTCTCTTGTGTATTTGTTATTTCTTAATTGGCTGTAGTCTTTAATCAGATAATTAATCTATATCCTGTAAATGCAAAGAAACGATATAGACAAATAAACACACACATATACATACACACACACACACACACACACATATATATATGTATATATATATATATATATATATATATATATATATATATATATATATATACATGTATATACATATATACATATATATATATATATATATATATATATATATATATATATATATATATATATATATATGTATATATAAATATATATATATATATATATATATATATATATATATATATATATATATATATATATATATATATATATATATATATATATATATATATATATATATATAGAGAGAGAGAGAGAGAGAGAGAGAGAGAGAGAGAGAGAGAGAGAGAGAAAGAGAGAGAGAGACAGAGAGACAGAGAGACAGAGAGAAAGAGAGAGAGAGAGAGAGAATAGTCCTACTCCTGTGACTGGCGTAGAAATTTCTCTGCGAAATATGACCGCATAGTAACACGCTGAGCGTATCTCTAAGGCGCTGCGATCAATTTAGAGAGTGAACTAGGGAAAAAGAAAAAAGTTAGGGTTCGGTAAGAAATAGAGAAAAAAAACAGCTACAACCCGGCTCACAAAACGATCAAAGCGAAGCCAGGCAAGCCCCAGAACGAGATTTCTCCCCCCGCGTCACAGTGTCCAGTCAGTCAGAGGGAGATCGCAGGAGCTGGTCGCGTTCTCCCAGATCAGCTATCGAGGAAACACTGCCTTGGCGAATATGAGCTTGGTGGGAGACAGTTTGGTTTTAAGGATTTGGTAACGCAAACGAGGGGGAATCAGAGAGAATGGGCTACGTTCTAGGCCCCTTTTTCTTATACTTTCGGTGTCTTCTCCTCTCCTTTATTCTCCTTTCCGTTTTTTTTTTCCCCTTTCTGTTCCTTGTTTTTTTTTCTTTCTTTCTTTTCTCGTCTGTACCTTGTTCTTCCCTTTCTTTTACCTTCTGTTCCTTGTCCTTTCCTTTCTTTTCTCTTTTGTTCCTTGTTCTTTCCTTTCTCCTCCATTCTGTCCCCTGGCCTCTGTGAATCCACTTACAAGGTTAGTGGGTGACGTCATTACCTCGAGTGACATGTGCGTCTGCGTAGTTTGGTCTGCGTTTGCATAAACGTGTGTGTGTGTGTGTGTGTGTGTGTGTGTGTGAGTGAGTGAGTGAGTGAGTGAGTGAGTGTGTGTGTGTGTGTGTGTGTGTGTGTGTGTGTGTGTGTGTGTGTGTGTGTGTGTGTGTGTGTGTGTGAGTGAGTGGTGAGTGAGTGAGTGAGTGAGTGAGTGTGTGTGTGTGTGTGTGTGTGTGTGTGTATGTGTGAGTGAGTGAGTGAGTGAGAGAGTGAGTGATTGAGTGAGTGTTAGTGTGTGTGTGTGTGTGTGTGAGTGAGTGAGTGAGTGAGTGAGTGAGTGAGTGTGTGTGTGTGTGTGTGTGTGTGTGTGTGTGTGTGTGAGTGAGTGAGTGAGTGAGTGAGTGAGTGTGTGTGTGTGAGTGTGTCCGCGCCTCTTGATGAATGTTTAACTCAGACGGGGCGCGTTGATCACTCATGTCTCAAAGTCGGCTTTCTTCCCAGTTCTTTCGGCTATTCGTCGCTTTGTCTCTCTCTCTCTCTCTTTCTTCACCCTCCTTCCCTCGTTACCGCACATCGCTATACTGACTCATTCGCAAACTTTTATTTTTATTTTTTACTCTCTTTTCTTGAAAATATTTACTGTTTCCCGGACATTAAACTGTTAAAATTGCACCAAAGATTCACCCGTTCTCGCGAAAGTGTCTCGTTAGTCCCCTCTTGCACAATAAACTTTGTTCGCTTCACTTAAGCCGTAGAGTCAGGCGTCACGAAGACTTGAGAATTGTAGAATTTTGTTATTGTTGTTATTATTTTAAACATTAGTATTTTTGTTAATATTATTATTTATATCATCATTATTATTGTTTTACTGTTATAATTATTGTTGTTGATGGTATCGTTATTATTATCATTATTATTGTATCATTGTTGTTATTGTTATGATTGCAGACTGATGATGATGATCATCATCATCAAGCATCATCTGATATCTTCATTATCAATAATATCACTGTTAATATCATTTATCATTATCACTGTTATTGTTGTCGTTATTATTGTTGTTATTGTTGATAGTATAATATCATTATCACCAACATCCTTATCATTACTAATAATAATTGTGCAAAACTTTTAGCAACATCACGGTTATTAATTTTACTCTCATTATGAATATTACTATCATGATGTTACCATTGATATCGTCATAATAATCACCATCACTATTATGTTCAGTTGTAATATTAACCACTGTTTTTCGTTACTTTTATTTCTTTATTATTTATATGTTGAAAACGGAAAATATGTTCAACGGAAAAATGGAAGAGTTATGTGCAATATGAAGTTATTTCCCCTTTTTTATGTTAAATGGTTTATATTTCTTTATTGCCCTAAGTTTGCTACTAAACCATGTTACCCGTAAAGCAATAACAAGAATAAAAATAATAGAGGCAGACATAAACCGGGCTCCCCTCATGGGCATAGCCCGGGCGAGGCTCTGCTTCGCAAATCAGACAAAAAAAAAAAAAAAAAAGGCAGACATAGGTAATGTTTTGTCAAATATATATGTGCAATGGACAGATCATGTGTGTAGTGTTCTCTTCTCATTCACAAATTGAAATTTAGAATACATTAGCAACCTTTTTATAATTTGCATTGTTGTTGAAGATATTGCGTAACAATGTGAACGATAGCAATAGCAATAAGAGCGAAAATAAAACGTGTCTTTCTCGTTGTAATTATTATCATCAGCCTTTTTTCATTAAATGTTCTATCTTAACACTTCACATTACTTTAAAGCAATTATCGTTATCATATCCCTTTCCTCCCCACAAAAGAAACCAACAGATAGAATCAGTCCCCGAGACCACATGCTGCCCGCGATTCCGTTGTTTATTTCGCCGCGTCGTCCGCTGTCTGACTCCCGTTCACCACATCCCTCGCCGTCTATTGTGTTGCTATCATACATGTGTAATCGCGATATTTGACACCTCAGTTCTCCTTCCCGGCGATTTCCACGTCTGACGCTGACTCGTTGTCATGCTCGAGTGACCTTTCAAGCATCCGTCTGCCATCTCGTGACGAGGCGTACCAAGCGAACCGTCTGAGTGTGACTATGCGTCAGCGGACTTGGGCACGGAGGCTGATCTATCCTTGTTTCGCCGCACGTGATTTTCATGAGATGTTTTCGTGTCACTTGATTTTTTTTTTTTCACATTGAGATTGAATTTATGTAAATGGATCTATATACACACACGCATAGATACACACATGTGGAAGATCAAAAAATACTACTAGGCCTGTAATTCAAAAATTCAGAGAATATCTCAAAATATAAGCAGTCGAATACGTTGCCTTGCAAACTATGTTCTTCAACAGTCTTTTGCCGTGTATCTGCCTCGAAAACACCAGAAAATATTCAGCTGACTTGTTTGTTTATCTTTGTTATCAGTAACTACATGATCAACGCCTCTCCCAGATAGCAAAATGTATGGGGCCTATGTGGGTATCATATGGGCAATTGTGGAAAAAAATGTGGGCACCATATGGGCAGCCCATGTGGGTTCAATGTGGGTAAATGTGGGACCCACATTTGCCCATAATGGCCCCACATGGGGAATGAAACAGGGTATTCATGTGGGGCTCATGTGGGCAAAATGGGCAAATGTGGGCATTTGTGGGTACTGGGTGGGGGAATGTGGGCAATTAGTTTATTGGAACGTGGGGAGTCCAGGGCCACTCAAACTTGTATGATGATTTACATGAGTCAGTTTACTGGTCAAGACAATACCAATCATTTCTGTGACACAATTAGGATATGTTGATTTGTTTACTTGTAGAGGTAAGAAATTCTCACGAACTTAAATTGTTAAAGAAGCAAATTATAACAATTCTAATATTCATTCAGTGTATCTGATAATTACAATGTAAGTACTGTAGAAGTTATTCAGTATACAAAAGGCGACACCATTACAAAACTAATAAATATTCAGCTACAAACAGTATACAACTACATACACACAACAAGCCTTCAGTCCCTACACTCAACATGTACAATTTGCACTAAACAACACGTTAACCGATGCTAATGACTAACAAGTA